AAAACTTGTCGCCGGAAAAAATGGTTGCGGTGGAGACGGATGGCGGAGAGAGAGAAAAACTTGATTTACTTAATTCACCACATTAGTAAATTATACACTCTAAACGGGCAATCGCTAGATGATTAGAACTTGAAATCTATATAAAAATTTCCTAAATTCAATAGAAATCAACATAAAACTCAAAAAAATCCAATATTCTCATTTGTTTGATTTGGTACTAATCATAAAGTCATAACCAATATCTGTTGCTTGCTGAAACTTGAAACCATTCAAAATAAAAACGTTTGTGGTCGTTACATGAGGATTTTAATTTTTAAGACCAAACCAATCAACTTAATCAAAATCCGTCTCTGTCTCCTACAGATGTAGTTACTAATTCCCAAAACCCTAATAACTTGACCAGTCAGCGACTAGGCGGGTGATTTGTCCGATTGTTAGAAAGTAAACAAGACCTGGTTACTAGTAAGTACGGAGGAGATTTCAATAACGGTGTTTCCGACCGACTAACAATAAAAAGAAACCCAGATTCAACTGGGAATGGCCGAACACGGTGGGACTCCGACTCCGTCTGATGAAGAACAAGTATGGAGCTGGGGCGCAGGTACGGACGGCCAGTTGGGGACGGCCAAGCTCCAAGACGAGCATCTCCCCAAGCTTCTCTCGCTGACGTCACTTCCTTCCATATCAATGCTCGCTTGTGGCGGCGCTCACGTCATCGCCTTGACTTCTGGTAAAACCCCCAATTCTCCGATTAAGAAATCTATGATTCGATTACTTAAATTTTGATCCAACATTTAAAGTATGCTTTTTGCAGGTGGTAAGGTCATGACATGGGGAAGAGGAAACGCTGGTCAATTAGGACATGGGGACATCCTCAACACTTGTTTGCCAAAACTAGTATCTTTCTTTGACGATTATGTTATAACTCAAGCCACAGCTGGATGGAGTCACTCTGGTTTTGTTTCGGGTAAACATTAATGAAGTTTTTTACAACTGCTTTAGGACCAAGAAGAGATTGATCTCCCTTTTGTCTTGTGTGTGTGAGTGCAGAGTCAGGTCGCCTTTTTACATGTGGGAATGGCTCATTTGGTCAGCTTGGTCACGGTGATAACATGTCACTAACCACTCCAGCTAAAGTCTCTTACTTTGTCAATAACAGTGTGAAGATGGTAGCTTGTGGTATGCGCCACTCACTTGTCTTGCTCACAGGTAGCATCTGATACAACACCGGTTTTGCAAGATAAGTGCTACACCAGTGTTGTTTCTCCATTTGATTTATCTTGTGTTCATCAGGGAATCAAGTGTATGGATTTGGCTCTGATAAACGCGGACAGCTAGGTGTCTCATCAGACAGAACAAAATCAGTAAATCTTCCATGTGTTATCTCTGGATTTGAAGATGTTGAGGTTGTTCGTATATCAGCTAATAGAGATCATAGTGCAGCGATATCCGGTTAATCCTTAAATCTCACATTCAATTTCATTGATTGATCAAATCTTTTGTTAAACCCCTGTCGTCCGATGTGCTTGACCAGCTAATGGACAGTTGTTTAGTTGGGGAAGAGGATTCTGCGGCGGCCCTGATATTCAAACACCTCAGTGTTTGCCTTCATCTCTATCTTTCAGAGAAGTTGTTTTAGGATGGAATCATGCTTTACTACTAACTGGTAATTTCTGTGTGGGTACATTAATACCTTCAATTAGCTCACTGAACTCATTCATATGTCAATGGACTTGCTAAACAGTTGATGGCGAAGTTTTCAAGCTTGGTAACACCCTTAATAAACAGTCCGAGAAGCAACAACTGCAAGTAGATTCCTGTGAACCTCTCTTGGAGAAAGTTCCGGATTTCGACGGAGTCAGAGTTCTGCAAATCGCAGCAGGAGCAGAGCATTCTGCTGCCGTAACAGGTAAAATGGGAGGGTGCAATTCTGTTACCTCTTTCTTCTTCAGACTTCTTCTTGATAGAAAACCTTTGAATATGTCTTGCAGAGAGTGGAGAAGTTAAGACATGGGGATGGGGTGAACATGGTCAGCTTGGTCTTGGGAACACCAATGATCTGACAAATCCTCAACTGGTGAGCCTAGGTAGTGTAGACCTGCGAATGAAAGAGATCGAAGTATACTGCGGAAGTGGATTTACCTATGCAGTAAAGCGAAAATAACTGCTTTCTTCTTCCTCAATTTCAGTATAGACATTGATGTATAATATCTAATGTGTGTAACATTGTACAATGCAAGAAGCCAATTGTTCACATGATTCTTGTCAGAGAAACAAGGTGGTTTACAATGATGGAAAATTTGAAATGTACAGATCCTTCTTTTTTGTTTTTTTAAGATAAAACCCTAGCCCTACTGCTTCCTTGGCTATCTTACCCTACATGAACGTGAAATTCCAAAAGAAACTAAAACCCTATTGATTCAGCTCATGCTCCATCGATAGTGGGATTTAGATCTGAAATCTTGTTGCCTTTAACCTTAAGAGATGATGAGCAAATTGTTTTCATATCCATTGCAAGTAACAATGGGTCGAAGCGGGTCAACTTTCCACTGGCCATCAACTATYAACTTTATCTGTGAGGAAAATGTAGCAAGATTAWGATTTTCSTTTCGCTCAGGAATGGGGAAAATGTTAGTTGCAGATACTGAGTTGATTGAATGATCTAACCTCYTATTTTCCAGGATATAGCTTCAGCGATAAAGAGAAGACTCCGTTCTCTGCTTTCTTCATTTTCCTCTGCTAGCAATATCGTAAAACAAATTCAGCAGATGTGAAGCATTTTAATTTCCTTTACTGGGATAAATCAGTTTCTTATTGATACGAACTGACCTGGGTAGACCAACCATCAAATGAACCCGTTAGTAGAACTTCTGAGGCTGAATTAGGCCATACTATGGATGCAGTCCGTAGTAGCCGTAAAGCTCTGTTAGCATGATCTATTTTTCTCTGTTTCTCCCGTACAATCCTCTGTGCGTCACTAGAAGAAAAAGTTAACTAATGTGAGAGACAATAGTGTAAGCTTCCTCCTATCTATTTGCACATAACCAATGAGGAAAGCACATACATTCTCGCCATAGCCATCTTTCCTTCAAGAACTGCCAGCTTTGCCCGTGTAGACCGTAACTTATTCTGGGCATATATGATCTCATTTTCTTTGAACTCCCAATCATCATTGAGATTCTCCAAATTCCCAGAATTTATCTCACTATCCTAAATGAAATCATAAACCAAAAATAAGCCAAACGGAAATCACTAATAGAATTGCGACTAGTTTGATAGGAGCTTATGAGAGATCAATCAAATAGAGAAGTGTTTCTAGATCCCCTCCAGTCAAACAATTACATACGAAGAAATGAAAACATATGTTACCTTACTTGTCAGAACTTCATCAGGCTGAGATCTAAGGGAGTGAAGAACAGAAGAAAGTTCTGACTGGAGATTCTGAACACGGCTTTTTCGTATTAATCCTCTTTCGTATTATCCTTTTTCGTATTATCCTTCTCTCACTACCCCACTACCCCAGAATCGTTATTAAGGGTGTTACCAAGCTTGAAAACTTCGCCATCAACTGTTTAGCAAGTCCATTGACAGATGAATTGAGTTAAATGAGCTAATTGAAGAGATATTAATGTACCCACACAGAAATTACCAGTTAGTAGTAAAGCATGATTCCATCCTAAAGCAACTTCTCTGAAAGATAGATAGAGATGAAGGCAAACACTGAGGGGTTTGAATATCAGGGCCGCCGCAGAATCCTCTTCCCCAACTAAACAACTGTCCATTAGCTGGTCAAGCACATCGGACGACAGGGGTTTAACAAAAGATTTGATCAATCAATGAAATTGAATGTGAGATTTAAGGATTAACCGGATATCGCTGCACTATGATCTCTATTAGCTGATATACGAACAACCTCAACATCTTCAAATCCAGAGATAACACATGGAAGATTTACTGATTTTGTTCTGTCTGATGAGACACCTAGCTGTCCGCGTTTATCAGAGCCAAATCCATACACTTGATTCCCTGATGAACACAAGATAAATCAAATGGAGAAACAACACTGGTGTAGCACTTATCTTGCAAAACCGGTGTTGTATCAGATGCTACCTGTGAGCAAGACAAGTGAGTGGCGCATACCACAAGCTACCATCTTCACACTGTTATTGACAAAGTAAGAGACTTTAGCTGGAGTGGTTAGTGACATGTTATCACCGTGACCAAGCTGACCAAATGAGCCATTCCCACATGTAAAAAGGCGACCTGACTCTGCACTCACACACACAAGACAAAAGGGAGATCAATCTCTTCTTGGTCCTAAAGCAGTTGTAAAAAACTTCATTAATGTTTACCCGAAACAAAACCAGAGTGACTCCATCCAGCTGTGGCTTGAGTTATAACATAATCGTCAAAGAAAGATACTAGTTTTGGCAAACAAGTGTTGAGGATGTCCCCATGTCCTAATTGACCAGCGTTTCCTCTTCCCCATGTCATGACCTTACCACCTGCAAAAAGCATACTTTAAATGTTGGATCAAAATTTAAGTAATCGAATCATAGATTTCTTAATCGGAGAATTGGGGGTTTTACCAGAAGTCAAGGCGATGACGTGAGCGCCGCCACAAGCGAGCATTGATATGGAAGGAAGTGACGTCAGCGAGAGAAGCTTGGGGAGATGCTCGTCTTGGAGCTTGGCCGTCCCCAACTGGCCGTCCGTACCTGCGCCCCAGCTCCATACTTGTTCTTCATCAGACGGAGTCGGAGTCCCACCGTGTTCGGCCATTCCCAGTTGAATCTGGGTTTCTTTTTATTGTTAGTCGGTCGGAAACACCGTTATTGAAATCTCCTCCGTACTTACTAGTAACCAGGTCTTGTTTACTTTCTAACAATCGGACAAATCACCCGCCTAGTCGCTGACTGGTCAAGTTATTAGGGTTTTGGGAATTAGTAACTACATCTGTAGGAGACAGAGACGGATTTTGATTAAGTTGATTGGTTTGGTCTTAAAAATTAAAATCCTCATGTAACGACCACAAACGTTTTTATTTTGAATGGTTTCAAGTTTCAGCAAGCAACAGATATTGGTTATGACTTTATGATTAGTACCAAATCAAACAAATGAGAATATTGGATTTTTTTGAGTTTTATGTTGATTTCTATTGAATTTAGGAAATTTTTATATAGATTTCAAGTTCTAATCATCTAGCGATTGCCCGTTTAGAGTGTATAATTTACTAATGTGGTGAATTAAGTAAATCAAGTTTTTCTCTCTCTCCGCCATCCGTCTCCACCGCAACCATTTTTTCCGGCGACAAGTTTT